CTTTCTTAATAATCTAAAATAAAACAAAATTATACTGGTCAATTTCCCCTTAAACTTCTCCATTAGCTAAAATGAAGCATTTACTTGAATTAAGGTAACTATATGTTTATATTTGAGCAGAACAAAAAGTACGTCAGATATAATGTGGACCTCTCTAGTCTATTCAAAGGTGTTCTATAGATCCAATGTGTTCCTATGGTAACAACCACCCACATGGGAAACACAGGAGTATATACTTGGTCTTATCTAGTTATCTTCAAACTGAGTAGCTCCAAACAGGACACAATGACTGGTCCTGGCAGGCAGTTCTGTGGCCAACCCTCTACTGTTTTGAGAGGAGGGAAGAGGGGAGAAATTGTGTTCAGTTTAGAGATTACTGATCTCGATGTTTCACCACCTAGAAAATTAATTAATACATAGCAAACCCCATCAATTCATTTTGTGGGTGTATAAAGCTCTACCTTACTGCCACAAACAAAGCAAGATGCCTCTACCAAATGCCACAGAAAGTAAATTTATGCAGATGTTCTTTCCTTTTCGGTTTTCCTTTAATTTGCAAATCTTGTAATCTAAGACTGAAGTTGACTGAACCAACATCTAAACCGGCACAGCAGTATCAGCCAAAAAACACAATCTGTTTCCCATTTATGTGTCAAGACTGCATCCTTTTGGGGGCTGCATAAACTATTGTTTTGAAAAGATTATACAGCGAACCACAGACCGGTTTGGGTTAGAAGGGGACCTTTAGAGCTCATCTAGTCCAACCCCCCTGCTAGGCATTTCAGACATTTTACTAGACGGAAAATCTGACTTTTAAAATGCAAAAATGTGTTTACCAAAAGCTAGTCAGAACCTCAGACACAAGGCAGAGGTGGACATCTTTGCTGTAAAGATACTCCTTGTGGGGATCACAAGGGTTGAGATCAGTGGCAAATCTCCCTCGACAGAATTTTTACATAAAACAAGTGCCAGAAATTTACAAGTGCAAAGTTTAACATTTTAGACACAGGAGAATTAATTTTCTAGAGCAGGTTCTCAACCGTGACTCTAACAAAGAAGTCGGGATTTAAAATTAACCAATACTAAAATAATGTTAAGACCTTAACAGTGATATTCAAAAGAATCAGTTTTATCAGCATGTATCAGTGACTACTGTATTAGGTTACATTACAGAGAAGATGCAAATCAAAGTTACCAAAGTTCCTCAAAATCAAATTCTAAGTTAATTCATTGTTAAATCTATTTTAATCTATATTAACAAGATATTTTTATTCCTCTCAAAAAATCTGTAATTCAGTAAAACATTAGGGGATATCCTGGGTAAACTGTTGTATTTCTACACTACCAAGGAGATCTTTCACTGTGTAAGTAACAATGAAGAAAAATTCAGGAATGAAACATAAACCTAAACATTGATTTTAGGCAAAGATTAGCTTGCATAAAGTACTTTTAGACCCTTCTTTGTTTCATAATGAAGGAAAGAAGTGTAAGAATATTATCAGAGATAAAATCATTTATTAATTTGTTTCCATTATAAAACACATGGCACATTAGAGAGTGAAAAATACTGACGTTATTTAACATAAATGATATTTTAGGTTATCGATTCGTAACTATTTGAGAATTTCTGGATTCCAGATTGGCAAATGTTCTACATTAAAAAGGATACCTTTCTATCCTATTTCTCTCATTATAGTCTATTTGCTTTACAGCTAAAGCTAAAGCAAAAGAGAAGAATTTCCTGATGGTAACCACTAATGCAGACTAGCGGTCAGAACCAGGAAATCCCGGCTCCTAACTCGAACGTGTCAATATCCCATTGATACAGACCTAAAAGATAAAATACTATTAAATGATAGCACAGTCTATCTAGATAAGAACTCTATGCTATCAGATTTACATTATTTAATGTTTTAGCACCTTTAATGCCTAAAATTTGCTTGTGGAATTTTCATGCACGCTGAATTCAAATTTCTCAAAGATTTCTGTACACATTTGAACATACGTGCACAAGTCCATAAAATCACAAAACATCATCAACACATCTGTACGTACAATCACTCGTCCATCACGCAGGACTGTGTCCACAAGGTATTAAGAGTTCTAACACCTGGGTTTTCTTATGGTCAAAAATGTGATCATTTACAGCAATTCCTAAACTCTAATGAAGATTTTAACAACCTACTGATGTTTTATAAGCCAGGTGTAAAATGCATTTATTCTTCACCTTCCATCCAAAAAAAGAACAACTTCAAAGCACTTTCTAGAGGAGCTACTGAAAATGGATTCTGCATAAATAATTGCCAGGAAAAACAATTTCAGTTAGAGTATTGTCTCCAGATACAGCAGGGTCCAAACTTATTCTTCAACAGTAAGTCATAGGGCCAGCCACGAAATCTTCCAAAATGTGAACCACGTCCCTTATTTATTAGTAACAGACCACAACAGAAACTTATTTGGAAATGTCCAAATTACCAGGGCTGTTCCAGGAACAAGTGTGAGCAGAGCAAACAGAAGTCAGAAACTGTGAAGAATTACTAGGGAATGTAACCAAATGATGATGGAGGCTGAAGAATTTGAACTTCTCTTCCCTAAAATCATTCTCCTTTTGACACATATTAGATAATGACCTGGGTGAAATTTGATTGGGAAAAAGCCAGAGGACTATGGAAGTAGCAAAAACACTTCAGGAGATCACATTTTTCACCTGGTGTCCCAATGAGGTTAGGGAAAGAGCAGGCAGGGCTGTGCTGGTGGTACTGGTTTCTTGTGAGACCATATATTTCAAAGATAAGGACACTGGCCCTATTGTCATAACCATGTCCAATCTCATTTAGTTTATGTTAAAGAAGGACAATGTAGTTTAATGCATCAGTGTAACAGACTGTGCCTTGGAAGACTTGGATTTCACTTTCGGATTTGCTTTGAGCCTAAAGTTGCATTTGAGAAAACACACAGTTTACCTTTCTGTTCAACAAGAAATAATTTAGTGTCAGTACTACACGATTTCACTCATTATTTCACCTGCCATTTCAGCAGACAGAATAGGCCTCCTATTCCCCACACATTTTCACTAGTGTGCTGGCAGCTGCAGGGCTTCATGCCACAGCCAGCATGATCTCCAAAGCAAGTGAAGAGATGGCTGTAGTGAATACATCAACTGCTTTGGAATAAATGCTCTAGAGTAAATGCAGTATTTTCTTCAGATACGTGATTATACAAGGTGTTTTATCTGTTTACAAGCATTAGGATAGACAGGAAATGATGTTAAACACAAAACCTCCAGTTAAGAGCAGAACTAAAATTGCAATTCAGGTTCTGAGGCCATTTGTAACACAGCTATTTTAGTGGTCTACACAAATTCTGCTTTATGCATAACAACCATTATATAAATGTAATCAAATGAGCTATGAATGTAACAAAAAAAAAACAAGTGTAATGCTTGAGCCAATATAAAAGGAGTGTGACTCCAGATGAGGGCAAACTATCAATAAACTCTTCACTTGAAAGCTTCTGACAAAACAGGTCATTTGCAAGGACTCCTTCAAAAGTCATTTGCAATGAACAGTAAATGTAGAAAAATGTTTCAGCATTTTCTGTTGCACATTTACCACCACAAGCGAACTTGTTCTTTATTAAATGGGTACACAAGAGCCTGTAACACAGCCACCTTTGTTATGAATGATGTGCTAGCCTTCTGGTCGCAGTGGAAAGCCTGATTTAAAATCTTCTATTTGCAGATATTTAACTACTCATAAATAGTTACACAAATCAATCCGTTCACTTCGAAAACACACATGCATTTTTTTGTAGAAAAGCAGAAAGTACCAATAATCTGAATTATTTTCATTAACTGAGTAATAGAGCAACAGTGAAACAAGTTTGTTCATTTCTCAGGTATCTCAGCTTCTAAAGCAAGGGTATGAAGAGAAGTATTTTTTTCCACCCAACATATCCTTTACATATATAAATACACTGCATTAACACAGAAACTCCTAGAAGAGCAATATTTGCATCTGCAGTTAAATGCACTCTTATTTAGAAAAAGTTATTCATGAGATTACATCCATTTACAGGGCAGGGGAAAAGGAGAACAGTCACCATAAACAGCTTTGCAAGCTGTAAACGCATCAATAGAAAGACATGTCACTCCTCTGCATACGTGGTTTTTGTTTTAAACATTTAAGGCAGGTAACTTTAATATTCTAGTTTAACACAGTACTGATACATACAGAGAAATGTACAGAGACCTCACAGTCTTCTTCCACACCCAGAGTGATTAAATTCTTAACTCAGAAAGGTGCGGCATGGAGTTAGTCTTACAACTGCACAAAGATTTACTTCAACTGTTTAGCCTTTGGATCGCTGTGTAGAGGATTACCCTCGAAAAGCAAGTATTTCCCTGTAGGTATATATATAAATCCTCTGCATTGTTTTTATCAACATATCAACCATCAAAATCTTACGGCCCTCTTTTGTAAGAAAAGCAATACAACAGCGCTGTCCAGAGAGCACAAGACCAGACTGTTAACTTATTTTCCTAATTCAAAAGAAGTGGATTTAACAAGTATTTTGCTAATAAACAATGAATGGCTGGAACAACAAACTTGCTCGGTGCTTGTAATTCACAACTGCTGCTTGAAAGCATCTTTTAGCTACTTTTTAAGACACAGAGATTGCTTTAGCACTTATCAATAATAATTCTGATCAGGATTAATATCAGAAAAGGCTACTCATACAGTTGTGATTACACTGAGACAAAATAAACTTGAAACACCTCTTCAGCTATTTTATATCAAGAGTCTCTACTTTTTACTCCTTTTGAAATGTTTAAGTCATAGGCAAATGGGTGCTGACACGCTGAAAAAAGTTTCAAAGCACTTCACAGTGTTACCCCATGAGCAAAACAGGAACAGAGCTTTAAAGACGTAATCTACCAGCGTTTTTCAGATGACATTACAATTGATACATACAACTTTCTTCATGAAAAACATCCTTACCCACAAGATCCAATGCTTTTGCACACACCAAGCAGGGGCCGCTTCTCAGAGAAATTATCACATTTCTGAGCACCTAATAAGAGGAAAGAAAGAAAAAGCAAATCACTATATTCAGTTTGTGTTACCTTTCAAAGTGCAAGTGCGCATGCTGTGGGGGCCCAATAGTTTGGAAGGATACTGAATATATAATACAAAACTAACAGCCTGTACAAGATTAGTGATAGGAATACAAATAACAGGCAGAGTCAAGAACAGTGGAAGAACTGTTCTCGAAAGAAATGGCAATGAGCAACAAAACGAGCAGCAAAATCTTGCTAGGATTTTGGAGTTATTTTCCTCCTCCCTTCAGTTGGGGTTAAGGGTTCTGGAACTCTTAACAGGTAATTCTTGCTCACTTTTCATTGTGTTAACAAAGTTGTCAGTAATGAGACTGTCACTAACTCTGGTCACACATATTGGTTTCCAGTTTCTTCTACTGAGGTGTAAGTGGAGTGGAAAAGTGTTAACCGTAAAAGCGCAGTGTAAGCACAGCCACACTCTGGAGCACCTGGCAAGGTGGCTGCCAGCGTCTGCACAAAGCACACCCATGCTTACAGCCCATGCCCTGGCCTAAGGAAATACCAGATTCAATTCAAAAGAGTCCTCGGTAAGTTCTGCCACCAAGCGATTTAAGCCTTTAAGAAAGCAATTTCCAGCGAGACGCAGGCTATGCCTGCAGTTCACTCAGAGTGAAAGCACAGCTCTAATGCTAAATCCCATCTACTTTTCAGGTCAGCTTCACCAGGTAACACCAGCATAGTCCCGCAGCAGAGTCTGGCACAGGCTTGTCCTCTGCTCTAACCAAGGGGCTGAGACAGTTCTGCCTGTCACGGATCCGTGCATGCCGCCACCGGAGCTGGCAATGAAAACCAGCTCTCCGCCTCCCCAAACTGCAGTCAAACCTCCAGCCAGAGGCATCAAACTGTTAAATATGCCACACTTCTTAAAATGGGGGGTTCAAGGTTTTTTAAACGTTGTGTTATTGCCACCTAACAGAAATAAAACTGAGTACAAAAAATAATCTCTCTTCTACTCATGAATAATGTTTTACTGAATTAAAGGGTATGCTTCTACCCAGCTTAGACAACAGATTAAAAACCACCACCACTACTACTCATTTTCCTTCAGCCTTTCCTATTTTTTCTTTCAGCCTTTGCCTCTTTAATTATCTATCTATAGGTATTCATGTGTATGGTGAACAATGGAATTGTGCTTTTTTCTCCTCCATTATACACCAAACCCTTTGATCTATAAAGAATAATAGTGATACAGTGTGCTCAAAATTCAATTCACAAACAGGGGTGTACTGCACTAAATCAATTCTTCCGAAAGGCACAACAATTAACAATATCCATTTTCACATGACAGACCCTGTTAATTATTAATAACTCCGGTACTTGCCATTAATTTGTAACAAAAACTGTTCAGTGCTCTCATCTGTACATGGAGAAGTCTTCCCTCCTACACATTTGGGTATTTATAAAGTCAAATGGGTCCCATCAATAACTTCACCATCAACAATAGCTTTACAAGTGATCTAAACCAGCCAAATGTATTTTCCTTCTATTCCTATTATTTCAAGGTCTTTTATGAGTCACACCTGTACTGTATGTACTGACCTGTGAATTGATAAATGAAACATATAGTTTTCTTAAGAATCTGGCAGCCACTTTGTGTTGTACAGAAGAACTCCATTTGTTTCTGTTCACTTAGCTAGTCCCTCAGCATTAAGGGTGAAACGCTGACTACCAAGAGTTCTGACATTGATTTAAGTGGAGCCAGGATTATACCTTAAGTATTTAACAACACTTTATTTGGGGTATTTCTCTTTAGCCAGGATATATTAGAGACATGATTTCATACATTTCTTTATGCTCTAGTTCCAAGTTTAATGACAAGGAAGGGAGAACAAGGGGAAGGAAGGTGGTGGAGAGTACACGGGAAACAACTGCACAAAAGGAATGCCTGGTTTTAATACCTACAATGGAGACTTGCAAAATTTGTACAATAGGTGCTTAAACTTCTGATTTCTGATTTAAATGAGACCCTCATTTAAAAAAAATCCATTTTCTACTTCAAATACATACCCTCAGAACGTAAATATTAATGCTGTAGAAAAGGATCATTACTTTGAGGACTCTGCAGGGCATTAAATCAGGTTAATAGCAGCCCCATTCATGCGATTGCAAAAAGCAACATGTGTTGATCTCTCTGCAATGCTTAATGGAGCCCGCAACCTTTCTTGTTCTGCGGTGGGGTTTAATCTCCCAGGTTATGGTGGATTAATTTTCATTTGTAAAATTGTGTTTATTTGCATGTGGGATGCAGTGACACTGCACACACCTGGCTCCACACACGGTGTTTAACAGAGTGCAGCGGGATGATTGAAATGAAAAACAGCCAGCTAAATCCCTCCAATACAAAAAGTATTGAAATCCTGTTGCAAAGTCTTTTTCCTAAACTCCTTTTATTCTAAATCCTTTTAATTCTGTCATATAACACTGCAGCATTTACAAAAAGCTGAAAATCCTGACAAATCACACAATTAAAGTAATGAAAACTGCCCTTCCTGCCAATAAGGCACCACCTTATCTACAGCTCCATTTAGCTAAATGATACATGCTCTTTAACAAAAAACCAACAAAACAACTAACTTCAGTTAAAATTGAAAAAACAAGTATCTGAGGCTAAATGAAATTTCATACAAATCAACATGTGGAACTTTATGGAGTCAAAAGGTTACCCACACATAAGCTCCAAGCAGTTTATGTACTGTACCTCTGATGAAACTGTGAATAGCTATCTCTTGGGCCTCCCTAAGGCCTCTCAATAATGCCAATAATAATAGTAACAGGCAGGAGCAGCACACCTTTCTGAAGAGCAGAAATGAAACCCCAGTGAGTTCCACAGGAACTCAAGAATTACTCAAAACTACACAAAGTCCCCTCTCTTCCCTTGGGTAAGAAACGCACTGTACAAATGTTAAATTCTGACCTATTTAGCAATAGTATCCGTGCACAATGGAGTATATCTGTCTGCTATGTAATTCCACTGATCAAGTTCCATCACAGCCATTTAGTACCAGTGCATCTCCCGTTCAACTAAACTCCTCTTATTTCTGTTACTTCAAATTGTGTGACACTTGTGGTCCTGCCCTGTAACAGCGCAGTAGCCAGCCAGTACCTGGAAATACATCAGGCCACATGGCTGGCATTCCCTATGTATGGTTTCCACTCCCTATTTTCCTGCCTTTTGGGGGGGGGGGGGGAAATCTTTCTTAACATTTTTTCATCACTACCATTTTGTTTCTGCTTTTTACTGAACACAAGTGCAAAAAAGCATATGTGCTACTTGAAACAGATGCAAAGAGGCTCGAGTCAGTCCTAAGCATAGTGTGTGAATTCTCCTCAGCTTCAGGGTAGCATCTCTAAATTCTCTTTTTTACTGCACAGATAAGCTTTAACTGCATTACTCGGTACCAAATCTGACCAATGATGCTGCCACTGCTGTCCTCATGCCAGAACTTCAGGTGCTCCTTTAGGATTAATGTTCTAGACACGACCATCATATGATTCCACCTCCTTTAACTCCCACCATCACCCAGACGTGTCAAGTTTCAATGTTCCTCTCCGGTACCTGCATCCTCATGCCGTTTCTCACATCCTCCAAAAGTTACCACCTTAGAACCCGCTTCAATTCCAGATGATTTTCATACCTAGTGCTTCCTTGGCCCACCCCACCCTCCCATTTCTGAGATAAGACAGCAACGTCGCAGGAAGCAGTGGTGGGAGAACTTAGTCTGGGCACTTCTATCAGACACACAGCTATGAATGTTTATAGAAAGTTGGTCTTTCTTCTGCACAGCACCATAGTTGTATTCTCTAGTAACTACATAGTTTCTATATGAAAAAGAATTACAAGATGACCTTGAAATACTTACTAAAGATCTATGTTTCTGAAGTCACACATTAACTGAAGGCAGCTAGAAATACTTCATTTTTATTGAATCTTGTATGAAATAAAAAAAGACCTTAAGAGATGTATCAGTCTAACATGGTGAAAGTTTAAGCTGTATTGGTCTAAAGCACTGATGTGGTGTGGCCAGAACTGCAATGGTGGCATACAGATCAGTCCACACGTCTTGAAAGAAATGAATACTTCTAAATGTCATGCGCCAAAATTCTTCCCTGTATCATCTATAAAAGGCTTTCTTGCTATGCTTGAGAATTCCATTCTGTAATTTCTATAATCCATATGTATTAACATTCATTATACCACAACAACCCACATAACCTTACAAAATACCCAACTGAAGCGCACACCTGCACGACCCACTTAAACCAATCCAAACCAAGCTACCAACTGCTACTGCTTGTTCAGCTTGTAGGGCTAGTTCTTCTGCTACACGCACTATGCAATTATTTTGGTCTTCAGGGACTTAAAACCACTAAAGCCACCCAAGTGGTTGAATATATACAAAACACACATCCGCCTTCCTTTAGAAAGTAACCTAAATATTATAGTTCTTTTAAGTATACCTGCACATAAAGCTAAGTCAGCTTTTGAGGTTCCAGTTTTATTTTACCAACATCAGACATGTAAGCGGAGGAGTACAGAGATAAATCTGCTGCAAAATTTAAACTTTCAACAGTTTCAGATTTTCAAGTGCAAAAGTTCTGTGTCCCAATTAATTTTAGCTTTTCATATTAATTCTGGTTTTCAACCCTTCATCCGTGAGGTTTCTCTGGGTCTTTGTAGTTTTAAATGTAGTACCTCTGATTTCTTTCCTTTATTTCCTTTCTGATTTGCTTTTTTTCCCCACATCAGTCAATTTGACTAAGCAGGCAAATTCACTGAGAGATGCAGGACTATTATATCATCTCTTCTGCAAGCAGCATAATCTAGAAAATGGCCACAAATTAATTCAGTTCACTGGAGGAATTTATTTTCATAATGCTGAGACATGGAAATAGGTTTTACAGACAATGACTGATCTAAACTTCAACACGCAAGCCTGTCATCATGTCCCCTTTAACCATGAATTACCACACACAATGCTATTCCTACAGCCATTCCTAGCTCCTTGATCGACTTTTAAACTATGCAAGCCTGCCTTAATAAATGGGATAGCACAAGGCAGAAAGCAGGTATTTGGCCAGGGTTTTGTAAAATGACCTGGGATAAGCAATGACAAATGGGAGGCTGCATACTGACTCATTTAGAAAGAGCAATACTGTGATTTTGTAGGAAAAAGAATAGCAAAGCTAACTGAAGTAAATGTATTGTTTCCTTAGCACTGACTCCTGAAGTATATCTGCAAAAGACCTCAAAATGAAGTCAGAACACAACAGATCTTTAAAGACAGAAGAGTTCTGACTCTTTTCTATTAGTGACTTCACAGGCCAAACAACACACAAGTACTACAGAAAATCCACCTCAGTAGTATTTTGAATGTTTCTACAAACATCACAGAAATGTTAATCAAGAGAAAACACCCAAGAGAAATACAGGCGTATCCAAGACAGAACACTTCTTCCTATACAGAACTCGGGATCATTTCAATTCTACAAGTTCGTATTCACACAGCCAGAAAAATGGGAAAACACCACATAGAGGGAGTGGTGAAAAACTGGAAAACATGTGGGACAAAGAATATGAGTAATTAGGTTAGAGCGGCTAAGTAAAGCCATTAGGTATTGTGGGAGATGAAGCCCGATACACAGAACTTTAGGAATGAGGACATCACAAATCTGAACCATATAAAATGGAGGAGGGAGTTAATCCACCCTGATTTTTGCTTGGTCTCCCATTATCACTAACTACAATGATGTTACCAACCCTGGTTTCCTCTTTACAGAGAACAGCAGCTAAATTTAACTGGCAGAGCTCCAGCTTTGTTTTTTATCTATCAGTTAACGTTTTCTCCTTTCTAATAACCACAAAGTCCTCACTTGTCTTCAAAGACAACTCTTAGCTTGTTTTGCCTGAAGAGACAGAAAAATCCAGAGCCCAGCAAAGCAGGCACCTGTATACACCTAAATCAGTACTAAACTCAGCCACAGCATACTGACCTGAAAGTGGAGAACTAAGCAAGTTAAAAGCTGTGCAGGCCAGCCAGCTCAGCAGATAATGCAGCATGTGGCACACAAAGTGCCAGGCTTTAGTATTCTTATTTCTGACAGTGTCCAGACAGAGGCGTTCTCATATTCTTTATCTCCTCTCATAAACTCAGAACTTGGTCACAGTGTAACCCTTCAGTCTCCAAAAAGGCAATTCATATTGCAAGCTGTAGTAAATAATCTAAGCTGCACCTACCACCACAGGCAACAGTAACTCTGTTGAGAACTCTGTCCAGAGAAAAGAGTTAATGTCTACATTTCTCAGTGTTAGTTACAGAAATCTCTCCATTCTTTCTGGACACCTTATCCAGGCTGCAGACCAACCGTGCCATGGACACAGAGACATCAAAGTGCTGCAGTGCTGGGCCAGGTCAGGTCTTGCCTGGTTTGTTAGCTCAGACAAAACCCTGCCCGAACATTGCAGTACAGCTGCCAGGTCAGAACAGTTCCAGGAGCCATTTCACTGCTCTAGCATGGCACAGAGCCTGAACTAATAAACCTCACCAGACCCGAGCTGGCAGTGTGCAAGGCCAGCTCCTGATACCGCACCACATCCCTGCTACTAGTGCCACTTATAACCTGCTAAATCAGATTTGAGAAGGTCTCCCTTGCAATAAGCCTGCATGAAATAAACCTGTATGAAGTAACTCTTTCGAAACAATGCTTTATTATGCTATGAAGCACATGATGCAGCAGAGGATCTAACATCAAAGGACTGTAGTATTTTAACAAAATAGTTGACAAACTATTAAGTTCTGCTGCTGCAAAGTCACCAAGTTAAAAGCATGAGCTTTCCTTTCACACCTGGGAATGAGCTTCTTATCACAACCTAAGATCTAGAAACAGGAACGTGCCAAATCCATCCACCAAGAGAGTCCTATTTTCAATAATTCCCTTTTTACAGCTTTACAGTAAAATAGTGTTTGAGCCTACTGATGGTAATCAGCTTCTCCTTTACAAATTCCTTTTATTTTGTTCAGAATCATTAAAGCTCATGTGTTAGTTATCTAAGGCCTCTTATTACAGCTTGACTTTTATCTGATTCCAGATACTGGTCAATGATACATTCATGTACTTTTAATCAAAGATTTATTTAAACCAAGCCATGTAAAAAGAGATCAAAACATGTTTTTAAAAGGTTTGGCTTAATTTAATATGAGCTAATTTGAATAGTTTTCTAATGTAACAACTATCATTGTCAGATGCTAAATATATGCAATTTACAAAACAGTAACTGCTTCAAGGAGTTCATAAGCAGCGTAACTTACTAGACTGAAAAATCAGAAGGCACTATTTTACTGTCAGAAAGAAATCAGAACTTATAGGTTCTTCAATTAATTTACTTCATTTTCATTTCTATATACACTTTCTTTCTCCTTTTTTCTCTTTGAGAGGGGAAGGAGCATAGACATCCATTACTTAATGACACACATAATAGCAAAAAAAAACATAGCTCATCAGGAATTATGCCATGTTCCCATAAACAGAATAAAAGGCACAATATGCTTGCAAAGTACTTTGCTTTAAGTTATTTCAACCTATGACAAAGTTACAGAACCACATATACCCATACTTCTTCTATTCCTCTTTTTAGGAAATTATTGAGACAATATAAAATGTGTCATTTAATCTTTAACCTTCTTCATTTACTTTCTTTGAAACACTTCATATTAGTATGATTTACTAAATTGCTAATAATTTAAACAATGAGATTTTAGGGTGCAGCTTTTCAGTTCACTAAGCAATTCATAATCTATTACTAAAATCTGGAATCCAGCATAATACCAAAAAGCCTTGGTCATACATTTCAATCACGAAGTAAAACATGGCAGCCAGTTTAAAGTGGAAATGCTACTTGCAGCTGTACAGAAGAGCTTGCCCACCTGAAGTTACAGGAAGCATAGATAGAATCACAGAATAGTTAGGGTTGGAAAGGACCTTAAGATCATCCAGTTCCGACCCCCTGCCATGGGTAGGGACACCTCACACTAAAACATGCCACTCAAAGCTTCATTCACCCCGGCCTTGAACTGCCAGGGATGGAGCATTCACAACTTCCCTGGGCAACCCATTCCAGTGCCTCATCACCCTCACAGTAAAGAACTTTTTCCTTATATCCAACCCAAACTTCCCTTGTTTAAGTTTTAACCCGTTACCCCTTGTCCTGTCACTACAGTCCCTAATGAAGAGTCCCTCCCCAGTATCCCTATAGCCCCCCTTCAGATACTGGAAGGGTGCTATGAGATCTCCACGCAGCCTTCTCTTCTCCACGCAGCTTTCTTCTTAGATAAGCTAAATGTTGCTGAAACCAAAAAGGAGCCAGGATACCAACAGATCTTAAGCCTTTAAGGAGTCTAAAATTAGATTTTGTGTTTAAATTGAACAGTGTTATTTTTTTACGAGATTTGCCTGTTTATGCATAGCTGCTTACATTTTGCAGCAAGCGCTTCCAGGGGTTAGCTCAGAATCTCTGAAACAATCCAGTTCAAAAACTAAGCAGCTTCTCTTAGTACTTCATAAAAAACTGTATTGACAAGAGGAGGTGCCCATCAGAACACAAGGGATAGTGATAAAAGTTCAACCACTAGAAAGGTCAAACTGTTTGAATGAAGTTTACAAGAATTAAGCAAAAGTTTTACATAAACTAGATGCAAGAACCACCTCAAGCCCCAGTTTCCGTTCTCTCATTACCTTTACTGGAGCGGAAAAGCAGCCTTTTTTACAAACCTTAGTGCAACTGCTAAACTTGATGCATGCGTGAATAAACTACTTCATTGCGTTTTCTTCATAATTCAAACATTAAAATAATCAGAAAAGGACATTTTCTCCTTGTACAAACTGCATTACTCGGATCAGCTCCTTCTTGCATTGTTTTACACACATTGTTTCAGCTCCTGAAAGCGTAACAAAGACATACTATCCTTCTAAAGGATTTAAGGGCATCAACATTATGAATATACTTTATAACACACTATAACAGATTCGAATAGATGTTAATGATTTCTAGATCTGCTATCACTCACCACCTTGCTATTAACAAAAGTAATTTCAATGTTATTTTATAGCAATAAAATATTGATAATGCTTTCAAATAGAAGCATTAACATCTCTGGACTGATCTCTGAGCACAGATACACCTAGATATCCTCTAAACTACAAAGGAAGCAGCATTAAAACTAAAATGTGAAGATGAAAGAGGAGAAATTACTGGATTACAGAGTAGGAAGTAAAAAGAAGTAACTAATACTCGTAGAAAGCTATTATGAAGGTGACAGTTTAAAATTAATGGGAAAATCTACACGAGGTTATAGCAATGATTCGGACAAAGGTCTGTACAAAAAAAGATACACTTAATTAAAAACCATATAAATCTAAACTTACTGATTTGAGGAGCTGGTAAGATCCGTGCAGCTCGAACTGGACCATGGCGGACAGAAAAGAGCTCTTGAGCTTCACCACTGATCTGCAAAATACATGCACTGTGACCATACAACGTAAAAAAAGTATATATACCTATAAATATATATAAACATATATACTTGGTACGTAAGAAAGCAGGTAGAAAGACATTACACAACAGGTCGGTAACAAAATAAGCTGGCTTTCTAACCAACCAGCCACAATTTCTATAAATGAGAATATGCATTACAGGTCTTGGATTTCAACACAATCATAGCACCAAAGATGCCTGCCTCTAACCACATGTGCCTCAGACTGTGTGAATGCGATTCGAGCACTATCTACTCTTAATGACTACACGTTTTAAAAGAAACAAGACTTGAAGTTGACTGCTGAGTAAAATTCACAAGAATTCAAGGAATCAGAAAGACAAGCATTTATTCTGCATAGCACATGATCCTAAGCGCAATGCGAACTAACCAATGATCCTGAGTGGCAAACATTGGTGGCAAAGATGAGAGAATCTGATATAGTGGTATGCTCCCTATCCTCTAGGTGTAAAAATTAGGTTTAAAAACGGAGGCAGGGAGGGTTAAACTAATTAGGTTTGTCACTAATGGCAGTCTTGAAAAGATTAAACCAGAAGTTAAGAAGAATTTCCAGACTTCCTGTAAATGGTCAGTCAGAATGCATTTTCATAACTGCCTCTAACGGAACCGATATGGAATGTCAAACTTGGAAAACAGCAAACATTATGAAGATAATTTCCAAATAAGTAACAACTTAAAACAGATGTAATGAGACTAAGATCATAGCCAAATGTTGGCATAAAGTTTTGCCAAACAAGCAGTTTACAATATCAGAAGAGAATGCAATTTGGAATAAGGTTCTTATGAATCAATAAACTAAATGCAAGTTAACTTTTTCAAGCGTCATTTTATGGTTGCTCCCATTTCTTTCTGCACTTCAGCTAACACACTCAAAATGTTAAAATCCTACTACTGTTTGACCAAAAAAACCTTAAGTGCAGTGCTTCTGACTTTGTCCTTACTTCCAATCTTAATCCAAGCCTCCTTATTTACTATCACTGCTTTAGATAACATGGGCAGAATGAAACATACCCCACTGAAGCACAAGTCTTTGATAGGATTACTCTGAAAACACTTTACTACAGAGGTAGCCCATCCTTCTGTACACCGTAAACAAACACAGAATGTAGTAAACTACTGATTTTCCATATTCCGCATGGAGTAACAGTCAAACTACACAAATACAGGGAAACAACATTGGTAGCCATTCCAGAGTTGCTAACAGCTAGCAGTTCCACACTGGTATGAACCAAGATTACTGTTAATGATGTGCTCAGAATTATTCCTGACAGACACAACATTTTTAAACCATAATCAATATCAGAATTAATCCCTAAGTCTGCCCTGATCTTAGTTTATTAGGCGGATGTTCCCATCACAGCAGATTCTCCTCTTCCAGCTAGCAGCATCATTGGAACAACATACAACATTGGAGTACTTCAGCTTTTGCAAAACAATTTTCATCCTCCCTCAGGGACAGCCAGAGGCCTCTGCTCTGAAGAGCGTGCTGACCAGATTCTATCCCAGACAAAAGAAGGATGATCAGAAATCAACTCAGTAAAGGTCTGCTGATTGTAACTGATGGTGCATTTGGAGTGCAGTGTGGAAAAAAAAAAACCCACATGGACAAAAACACCTGCATGCAGAAAAGACAGCTTGGAAAAAAGTAGAGCACAGCTAAGCAGAAAGTGAAAGAAATTAGACACACAAACAAAGAGATGAAAAAAGATTAAGGCTGCAGCATGTTTTCTATCCATCGAAGCACACCAGCTCTATGAAAAAGGAATGGAGGAAATGAAGAAGAAATAAAAATATAAGGCTTTGGAACTATTGTTATTGGCAATTAAATAATTTTTCCCCCAAATCATGAAAATGCTGCTTCACATGTGTGCACACCTCAAGGGCTATGAAAGAAAACAAGAGGAAAAAGAACTAGCATAACAAAAGTATGGAAGAAGTGATTCACATAAAATAATCCAACCCAATTCAGTCACAGCCTTCTACTTTTTAACTATGCCAGCACGTCAGCTCTAACTCCCATCTACTTCCAATAAAGTTACAGTCCCAAACCTAAGATACACTGAGAAGTCCAAACCTTCTTAACTTACTTTCTGCTATTAAATATACTGAACTCCAGAAAGCACATTTATTTAGTGTGTGATGCCAAGACCTGGTAAAGCCTGAAGTTGAGATTTTCAAAGAGAAGCCTAAAACATACAAATCCAGATGACATTTACTGGTACTGCAGCACCTAACATGAAAATCCCAGCCCAGCTCTTTTCATGCATATAATGCTTTACTTTTTAATAATTATAATTAGTTATCTGAGAGGTAACTATTTTATCATTTTATACTGGGGGAAAGTACAGAAAGAAACGTTAAATGGACTAACCAAAGCCAGAGGACCTAACGGTGACAAAGACTATAGGTGGCCAGCTCTTGTTTTGAGACCACTGTAATGTCCAATACCGCAGTGCAAGAGGTCCTTTCCTCAGTCTCTGTAGGATCTTGTTTTTTCCAGGAAAGGGGAAACTTTTTAGAACTAAGAAATAAGCAAGAAAAGATTCAGATAACGTCAGCCATCTGCAGAGCTCAGTTACTTTGCAGTTGCTGGTTCCTGGGAGACAAAAAAAGAGCTAATCTTAAGATACAACTCCACGGCAGAGAAAATACAAGATGCCACCCAACCATTAACAGAAACAAGAAATCATAGAAGGCATTGGGCATTGTTGTATGCCATGAATTAATAACAGCTTGGTTGTTCCTCTGGTTTGCTTGGCATTGAAAAAATGCAGCAGAGCTTTAGAGTTCAAGATTTTCTTTGACTTGTAATTAACTTCTTCAAAAACACTACTACCACTGGAAACTTCTGCTATTTGCAGTCTTATAAAATTCTGAATTAACTGTGGTTAATGCTAATGCCCTTCATTTATCAATATACAACATAAAACTTTATTGCCATTGCTGAGGCCACATGTATCAATTTTGACTGAAAGCACCATCTTCTGGGTGGAAAGATTATATAGCCTGATCTTTCTGCCAGTTCAAGCCTTATCTCACTCCTGAGACAGCCAACATAGAGAGCCAATCTCTTCTGTGAATGGGACACTTATTCCACTAGGAACTAAACTGGGACAAGGAACTACATTTAAGAGAAGCCCAGCCCCACCGCTAAATGGCTAACAACTTTGTCACTGCCAGCTTGGGTGAGATGTGGGCTGGCAAGTAGAAGTAAAAGGCTCCACATCCCATTACCAGTCCCCTGAGCTACACCGTCTCATAAGCATAGACAAAATATAAATAGACTTCATGAATTGAAAACAGAGCTCTAAATTCTTCAAAAAGCACCTGTGAAGAAACTAGGCTGTGGCTGCCATTTTGGATTTGATCCAGGGAAGTAGCAAGTCCCAGTGGCAGCTTTCAAAGCTCTTAGAAGTTTTTCTTTCCCATTTCAAAAGCCAAGAATATTTCCAAACAGGTTTCAAGAATTGAATATTAAGCTATAAAAGCAGCTTCAGGTACTCGTTCTATGAAAGAGTGAATCCAAAATGACGGGTCCAAGCTGGTCTGATAGAATATTTCAGCTTTCCCAGTGCCTCGTATCAAACCACAAGCCCCAGACCTACATGGAAGGCTGCAAGCAAAGAACACACTGATTCAGAAACCCAGCCCCCAGTGAAGTCTTCATCACTTTCTTCCACTAGTGACAGATTGAAAATGAAGAAGAGCTCTCTCCTCCACTCAGATGACTTGAGCTACTGCTTAGAATATGACAGAGCAGAAATCTGGAGCGCTGGTTAATTTTTGATGACAGAGCTTTATTGTTTGGAGCATACCAGTTTGCACCCACAAAAAATAACGAACAAAGGCAGTTTTGTTCACACTAAGGATAACTAATAGTTTCCAACCATAGAAAATGGTTTTCACATGGGGGAAAAGAAAAAGACAGAACTCAAACATACACCAAACTGAAGCAAAATTGAGCTCAAAACTCAATGCTTGAACTCTCATGCAGCTGTATGAATAGAAACTGCTTTTATATTAGAAAGCTGTCACAGAGCACTGGGAAGATATCAGGAGGTAGGTTGTCATAATAACCTGATTTATGTTTTAAATATGATATAGATATCATGATATGATGTTATGATAATAAGCAACTGACAGATCCTGCCACAAAGTACTGTGTGATATAATTGTATTGGGTTAAAGATTACTACCAGTCCCTTGCTACTAAGAAAAGAAGGAAGGACTGTAAGTAAAGGGCCAAATTTTATCACTTTAGTTTAGAAATTCTAACAGTCTGCTTTTTCATTAAAAAACAGCTCTAATTGTCTAGAGATTATAAGAATATAAATGCTAAAAGAATGTTCCAGTCCACTCTAGTGACTGAATTAAGTATGAAACTGCACCTAGCACCTAAAATTATGACAGCGCTAAGTGAACTTAAAAATCACTGACAGCTTAGAAATGGTTTTGGTTACAGTTTCCTCAACATTCTCACTCTGCCATACATTTAGAGGAGTTTTAGCATGACCAGGCTGCAGGCTCCCTACAAAATTCTGATTTGGGGGATAGTTCTGCATTGGTTTTAATCATTTCTGCACAAAGACAAGAATGACACAGAGAATGCTGGAAGGAGGTAGAATACAGGTACTAACACCCCTCATGAGTCTTCGGCTTAGCTTTGACCCCATCCAAGGGGAGCTACATGAAATGCTGTTTGGACTCTTCTGACACATCTCACCACAGCGTTTTGCAGAGTGTGGCACGTGCTTTTTTTGCAACTGGTGGGTATGATATGAGTAAAATTAAATTAATAAATAAATGCAACAATCTTCCAACAGTTCTGCAGCCACTTAATGAGCGTAAAACCAGCACATTTCTTACACACCACCAGCATCTTCCATGTAAAAAACCCAAAGCCTCAGAAAATTATTTGCATAAATGTTTTGTAAAGTCCATGGGCATTTTTCAGTTACTAGGTTAGGTCATTACTATGTTCTTGCAAGTGGCTAATACAAGCATTAACAGCGGCACCCTCCATCAGGAGGAGGTCTGGATTGCAGCTTACTCTGTGTAACTGAGTAGTCCTTTTCCCAGCACTAAAATGAAAAAGAGTTACAAAGGAGAAAGAACTACAAAGACAACCACACCGAAAAACCCCAGCAGACAGGGCTTTTGATGAATAGCTGAGAAAACAAAATGGAACTGGCATGTCTGTCTTGCCATATACATCCATCTATACATCCACATACACACACCATCTGCTGTACAACTGCAGTTTTAACAACTTAGGAAGTATTACTGACAGGAGCATTTAAAGAAACTTAAGGTCTGGCAGTGGAGAAATGGCAGCGTGTGATGCCATCCTTGCCCACTGAGTCCTCTGCATTCCAGAGGCCTCCACGAGGAAGCTACCTTCCATATGGGCTGACACATCGCATCAGTCTGTGGCAATTTCGTTTTACCTCAGCCTTTAAGTATTTCTGTGCTAAGTAGACATCTGCACTTGTTATTAAAAGTTCTCTCTGGTAGTTCCTACTTTATTCAATGCAAACTTGATTGTTCTTTTTTAATTGTAATACAAAACATTAAATTAAGATGATTTTTCTACTTCTGAAACTTCCAGCGTACAACAAAACAAAGAATTATCTGCCACAAAACCAGCCAACATGCATTTCCCTCAACAGGAACATCTAGAACAGATACTTGGAAACCACATTAGGCAGAAACCAGTTCCAATTGTATTTGAAACATGAAACTGGGAGCAAGGGAAAAACAAATTCCAAATAAAACACAGAACTACACTGCACAATTATCAAATAGGAACTTCCAGCCATACTTTTGTATAGTCCCAGCTTTCTCCCCACTTAGCGAGGCGTATTTTAAGAACACTTCCAACTTTCCCACCCCCATTTCAAAACAAAGATCAAAGAAAAGCCATTTGGATGGACACCTTCCGCTTCTTATGCAATACAGATTTAGACGCTGCACTTCAAAACCCCAGCACCCAGCAGTCCAAACATTATTCCAGTCCTTTGAAGCAGCCCTAACGGTATCTTCCATTTGCAAGTAACACTTCTGTAGTCAAAGATCTTACTCCAAGGAGATGTTAATGTGAAACCACTCAGACTGCAAAGAGACACACACTCCTGGAGGCAGACTGCAAAGGTGTTTAGAAGTCAATGTAACACCATTACGGAGAGTGTCAGCTTAGAAGCTGTCATAAACACTTCATAATCACTCAGACACAAACTGGACTGCCTGCAATGCATTACTTTATTAAGTGCTGAATAGAGGTTCAATTGTACGAATAAAAAGCACAATGCTAGAGATAATAACCTTATTGAGTGGGTTTTCACATAAATGTCAAATTTTTGCTTTTTCAGATTAAAAGGTTTTTAACCTAGAGAGATGTGGGTTTTTTTTAGTCTTAACTGGAATAATGGTGCTTAATTACAAGCTTAATATGCAGCAAGATCAAGAAGAACAGTCTGCATAATACCAAAGGACACAAAAAAGTGTTACCAAACAAACTCCAAAAATTAAGTCAGTCACATAATTGCCAGGTTTTATTTTACTCAGACTAAGTCAGAAAAAAAAAAAAAAAGAGACAGAAAAATAACAACATGAAAAAAAAATCCCAAACCAAGTTATGTCCCCCCCCAAGTTTTTGGATATTTAAATCCTGCTCTGAAAAGATACTTCAAATTGATGTTAAAGACGATTCTGAGAAACTATGCAGGATAAACTTACTAACAAAGAAGCCATCCCAACACTGAAATTATACTAACACATATAACTTGCCAGATCAAAGCTGCACCTCTCTGGATGTGGCCTCAGAATTTTGCAGAATATACAAATGAAAGGCTGAAAATGTGATGTAATATCTCTACAGCTGACATTGTTAAGATGGATGGTAAAATATCCCCACATTTGGCATTTTTTATCATTTCACTCGACTTCCCCCCCCCCTTATTAAAAATACCTCAGCAAAAAAAATGAAGCACACTAAGAGAAAGTGCCTTGCAATTTCTTGTCTTATTTTTCTTCAAGTATTCAATGCTATCACAAGCTGGGAATTATGACAAAGTGAAACGTACTGAGGGTTAAAAAAAGACAACCTGGCTGTACTGTCCTATTGAAAAAGGACGTAACATCAAGTATTCTGTGCCTGAACTTGTGGCTAATTCAAATACAAGAAGGAAAGAAAAAAGCCCTCCTACAAACCCAAACAGTTCCTTCCTTCTAGGTACTCTACCTTGTACTACCTGGCTCACAGTATCAGTAAGCACACATAAGCTAGGAAAAACAAAGTAGTTTAATACATTGTTTGTTAGTCATCTCCACCACATAATTTCATGTTTGCTGCACTGTACCATGGAGTACAAGCTTAAATGCAGACAGTTAATGCAGAACAGGTTACATCGAGGTAATCTGTTCATGTACCAAAGAACTGAAGCTCTCTTTTATTCTTGCTTTCTTTATACATGTAAGATCCCATCTGACACAGCATTTCTCAAGGGCATTGATACAGATAGCTCTGACAGAGACACTCTTTCATTTGGACACAGAAAGTCACTTACGAGGGACACACAGAACTCTCACCTAACCACAGAGCAAGGGCATGTTACATACACACAGAGGAAAAAAAAAACAACTATCTATACACAAAGCTGCTCTTATCACAGCATGGCCAGGACAAGCCCCATGTCAGCACAATGCACTTCAGCACAATTCTTCAGAAAACACAGGTTCAATTGGATAAGAACATTTCAGCAGGATAAAGTAAGCCGGTTTACAAAAATTCTTTAGCTTAAGGCAATGTGACTACTCACAGTTATCTTAACTAATGGATCAATTTGGCCTGTAACCGCTGGTACTGCTGCAGTTGTATCGTCTCTCTTAGCTCAGTGTCTTAGTGACACCTAATGTTTGTTTTCTGTAATACACGTCCAAGAACAAAGCCTTCCTGAACCACTTGAACCCGATTTGTACACTCACACAAAACCGAGCAGCCTTCAAAATAGTGTGCAAAGCTAATCACATACTGGAAATCCATGCTTAGTATTCAGTGTCATTCAAAGCCCAGGGTAAAGGCCGATTTAAAAAGAAAAAGATGAGTGAACAAGCGAGCTTTGCTGCCTCATACACGCTTCTGCTCTAAGGAGATAAATGATCCAAAGATATGCCTTGCTTCAGTAAAAATAAAGCCACCAAAGTTACAATTAGATATAGTTTCTCAGGACATACCATCAGATAAAATTTCCTATATTCTCGTTAAAATGTTCCTAAATTTTCATTAAAGCTCCTAAATTTTAGTACGATGTTACTAAATACTCACTCAATTTCTAAACCCTCCTTCAAATGCAAAAGCTCAACAGCTTGTTTCTTGTTCCTCATTTCCAGCTAACAACATGCAATCAAGAGGGGAAAAGCCAGTTCTCCCACACTCAGTGAAACTCCATTTAACTTTTGATGTACAAGTTCACATTATTTTCTATTACACTGAGCTACTGGTATATAAACATATCGTACATAGCTAACCAAAGAGTTATAAAAACATACACATTTCTTACAAAACCAAAGTATTCCACAAAGGGGAAGAGCTTCATCCTCTCTGCATTATTTTGAAGGACAAGGTGTTATAAGCAACTTTTAATTATTTTTTTTTGAATTTTCTAACCTACTGTGTTCAACTTTACTCTTTAGTTTGGAGAAATTTGGGGGAAATCCCCCAAATTAAGACCATGTGCTCATAAACCACTCTGAAACACCAACTGCAGGTTCTGTGTATGACAGCATGAAATCGAACCCATATGCACACACAGACTTCAGTAAAATTAAAATTGCAAATCATGTACATGACAAACGTGATTGTAAAATACTATTAATACTGTCATACTTGTGTTAAGGGGACAAACAAATTCTTTTCATACTTCTCCGCCCTTATTCCTTTCTGTATCTTAAAACGACTTCTGTTCTTTCTGGGATACAAACTATTCCATGATGTCAAGAACTACTTTCATTTAGACTCTGAAAATTTACTTAACAGAAATAATTTGTAGGAAGCCCTCAAATCTGAAGCTAAGTGAATTCAAGTGTTTGATCCATGCTCAGTATTAATCTTAAGATAAGCATATTGCAAACAAACCATATGACACCGATGGTAAATGTTGGATCTTTCTACTTTGATAGGAAAAATTAGAAGTAAAATATTAAAGTAGCAGAACATCACAAACAAAAAAGCCTCTGGCACAGAACTCTGTACTTACAGGTATGCTCCAGACTTGCATTCCGTCACTGTATCCAATCATCAGCAGTAACGGTGGTTCAGTCCCGGTGCTGTGTATTTCATGGAACTCCATATTCCTTGATATATCTAAATTGAGTGTAAATATCAAAGTCATTATTAGTAGGTTAGAATCAACTATGGCTGATGTCAGTTATGCTCTTTTCTCAATGCATGTTTCTGGTGTCATTAAGTAAAAGCAAGCAAGATGGTTTCAAATAGTGTGCAGGAACAATACTGAAGTATATTCTTTTAGGCAAACACAACATTTGTTGAAGTTTCACAAAGAGGTTAAAAAGCACTACAATTTTAAATGGAGAAAAATATTCTGGATGACATTATGGGTTGTCTCTGAATACCCCAAAACCTTCTGTAATTCCTTCTCAAATGACTAATGGCAAACTTTTCAAATAGAGCACAATTTGCAAAAGACCAACAAAACAAACATGAACAAATACAGAAATTAGAAATTCATAGACTGGGCAAAACTACTTCTAGATACTCTACAATTAATCTTTACATCAACCTTAACAAAAGAAGAAAATCCCGAGGAAGAAGAGTGCTAAAGGCCATAATCATCACCATCACAAATATTAAGCTTTTCCTGAGTAAAACTCTCTAAAGATACATTTTCAACCATGACAGAATGAACAGAAGCTCACTGCAAGCACAGGAGCATGAAACAAAGAGAGGAAGTATTTAGGATGGTGAAAGAGGATATATTCAGGCCCAAACAGATTAGGCTGCGTAGAAGTAAACTTAAACAGAATATGAAGGATTCTGAAGAACACTCTGAAGAGTTTTTGTTATACGCTAGGAAAGAACCTGAAGAGGGAATGCCTGAGATTTTTTTAAAAACCAAACATATGAGGAAAACAAACCCACAAACAAACCTTAACCAGCCCAAAGCTGGACATAATGCCTTGTACAGGTTGACAAGTCTTTTCTAGTTCTAATAACCACGAATTTATGAACTGCCAGCCTCTGTGCCATTTCAACAGCTAGAAAACACGTAATCTTCCCTAATAACCCTTGGAAAGGTTGAAAATTCCCCATCACAGCTCTAGCTATGGTACTACTACTTCCTCTGAGACCAGAATGAGCCTTTACCATAGAGCTCTAGACAGGAAAATAAGATGGTAGATAAGAAACGGCAATTTGCTGGAAGACTTAAATACAGCATTCTCCAGAAGGCAGGTCCCATAGTTCATCAGTTAATTCAAGAAGCAATTACCTGATAGCAGCATTCAACCACCTCCCATTCAGTCCCTAACTTCCTTATTCAGAACAAGCTAACTGGGACAGACAGGTAAAACAGCTCCCATCTTAAGTTGGGATCTACTTGATACTCTCAGCAGCAGCTTGTAGCAATCACCATTCTCTCTTAAAAAGGTTGGAGACCTGTTTTCTGCACAAAGTCTTTGCTGATGATTCATTAAGATACACTGGAAGTGATAAACAAGTTACATGTTAAGAATATTTAGTGGCTTTGCTCTATTATTTCCCTGAAAAAAGTCATGGAATCTGCTGCTCCCTTTACTCAACTGCTCTTCCTTTCTTGGTTACTCTAAAATCACACCACTGAAAATGTATCTGGGACCTGAACTGGTTTCACAGTTAGATAATGTGGCTTTTAAATCAATCAGTAGATTAAATAAATTCCATTCTATGCTTTGTTAGACTAAAATTGATTTTTTTTTTAATTTACCCCTCTTCCTAAGCACAAATTAATCTGAGTTAATGAAACCAGAAGATCTATATGTTCTGTTTGGCTGATAACGGACAAAAGTGCAGCTATTCACCGAGAATTCAGTGTATCTAGAACAGTGAAATTAAACACTTAATTTTGAGTCAACAAAGCTTATTGATAAAGCTGACTGAAATTACTGTACATAGACCCAAATACCACAAATATAACTGAGAGAAAATGAAGCCATACCATTTAAATCTGCATTTTCAAATCTGACCCAAATTATCTTCTCCTTTTCTTCTGCTGGTGGGGTTCCGCTGTAGGCCTGGACAAAAACCAAAAGGGTTGAAATAAGAAAGTTTAATATCTTTTTTTTCTCCCTCTGTAGACCATAGAGAGAATCTAAGTTAAAAAAGAAAAACAGAGATGCGTGTATCTTTTTGCCACCAGTACTGCTGGGAGGTTTTGCTTCAAAGCTGAATGGTTCTATGATCAACATAAACCATGCTAAATATAACTCAACAAGCGTAACATCACTTACTAATGTGGAAATGACAAGACATATGTAACAATAAGTCTTCTGGAGCAGGTTAGAAATGCCATGCAAGTTACAGCAATTTAGTCAAGCCAAAACACAGCAGCTCCTACAACCTTTAGCTGTAGTAGTTAGAGGTTGTCATGTGAGGCATTTTTACTTTCGAAATTCTCTTTAATTCACTTAAAAGCTTTTTAAGGAAGACTGAGAAAAGAAAGAGATGTTTACTACACAGTTTATATTTTATTGAGATGTTTTACTTATATTTGTGACATCTTTAATATAGCCATTTAAAAGAGAATAAACTGTAATTCCAGTAGAATTCCATGTCACAGTTCGGGCTGTACAGATTCCCATAAAAAGATGCCATACACAAAGAAACTTTGAAGAAGACTTGAAATGTTTCTAAATTGCAGGCTTTACAGTTCTCAGGAGAAGCTGTGGTAGTAAAAACGTGAGCTACAGTAGAAATACCACTGTTTCCAAATTAATTATAACAAAATACTGGGCAGTATTTTGGATTAAATATGAAAAGAGCTTGTATAATAACTTTATACATGCCAGAAAGGCAATAACATGAACTAAAAATACAAATTTAAAAAGTAAGTGTGGGTATTACTTTTCAAAACAAATCACATTCCATGCTTCCCAGGCAAACTGATTTGTAAAATAAAACACAGACTGTGTCTTCTAACTACAGATGGGAAAAACGGGGGCATGTGTGGAACGCAGCAAACTTTTACATGAAAGTTTTGACTATTTTTAATTTTGACCATGAGTCCAAAATACATTTCACAAATGTGCATCAGTGAGGGGAATTTCTTTTATATTACTACTGAGGAAATCCGTAAGTAACCAAGAACCAAGACAGTTTCCTGAAGCTACAATTAGCTGCAGCACTCCTCCACTACAGACTACAGCTTTCCCAAAGAGTAACAGAACAAAACTAGTTTCTCTCTGCTACCAGGAGGCCTATGGACAATAAGAAGTGACCAATCCAGTTTCATGCTGCTGCCGCCTGTGAAACTATGACCCACAGCATCAGTGTTATTCTCTAGAGAGGAGGAGCCCAGAAATTAAAAATAAAACGAAATTAAATTGAACAAAGCAGAGTGAGGACTCCTGATTAGCAGGACTCATCACGCTGGGGAATGATGGGATCGCCAGAGCTCCACAGTTCCACAGAAGCCAGCACATTCCAAGACAAGTTAAGAAGACCAAAAAAAAGAGGGAGTAAAGGAGGCAAAGGAAACTTTCTCCTTTTCAGCCAATGATAAAAGCTGGGGTGACACAGGGTGCCTACCAAGTTTTTCCAACACCAACCCAGCCATTCATAGGTTTCCAACTACAACCCAGAAGAAAACATATTTGCAGGAGGCAGAGTAAGTAATACGTCCAGTCTCTCCCTCACCAGCTACTCTACCACCAAAACTACCACAGGAGAAGGCTGCAATCTTCTTCCTGCTGTTTATAGTGCAATTCTTTAACTTTTATGTGGCTATGTTAATTATCACCCATCAGAGGAAGACCAATCTTCAGATAGTCAACACTTTCAAAAACTGGTCTCAAGATCCACGTTCAAAAACACTACAAGATCTGGCTTTGGTTTTTCAATATTCTGGTCCCCCCTGACACACACTTCAACTGCTTTGTACACCAAAAAAAACAGTCTGAAAGATCTTCACGTACCTGTGGCACAACATCTTGAAGAAACGTAACAACACTTTCCATGTACGACTGTTCCCTTGAAAACAGAAGGAGAATTCCAACTATCACTGAAACTCAAAGCGGTCATGAATACATAAGACATGTCAGCAGAGAAAACACGGATAATCTTTAGAGCAAAGGAAAAAGCATGCAATACAGTTACTTCACATACTGCCAAACACTCTGATAAACAGGGCCTGAAGGTGTGTAAAAAGCTAAGTGATACCTGTTTATGAAATAACCGCTTGGGGGGAATGTATAAAACACAAGAAGCAAGAAAGAAACCATGCTCTCCACATCAGAGAAGTACAGCAGGCATTTGGAAATTATACTTCCTTATTTTTCTACTTGATTTGGCTATTACAACATGAAGACGAAGCCTTACGCCAACGGCTGAAGTTCTCCTTTCGGGGCAAGTAAACTTTAAGACCTCAGATGCATTATGTATAATGCTGAACTAAATGGTACCACTTGGGGACAGGAGATGGAGTAAAAACCTAACTAAGAATAGTAAAGAGAGGGATTTTCAGATAAGATTTTATAGCTTGGGAAGCTTATTCCTTCTTGGAAGTTCATTAGAAGCAACGATTTAGAAGAGCATCTAGTGCAAGATACATTTGTTGTGATAGATTTAAACTAATGCTTTTATAAGCTTATCCGTACATAAGTGGTCAGTCTCTTGTGTAACTGCTGAGCAATATACAACCTGGGCTGACTCTATCAGACAGTGTCAAAACTATGCAACAAGTTTGTGCTTTCTGTGGTGAGCAATACTGAAACATGTTCACAACAAGAACTATCTTCATCAAGCCTTGAGGCAATTTAAAAAGCCCAAACTCTTTAGGCAAAGGCTGTGGCAGCCCCAAAATTGATTTTTCCTATTGGTAGTATTTTTTTCTGTGCTAACACAAGATTTGTCATAGAAAGAAATTAAAAACATAAACCAGGAAATCTCAAGTCTTGATGTCCAAAGGTACCTATGATTTCTTCATGCTCTCTGATACTGTGCTGTGCAATATTCTTTTAATAAAAATTGGTGTTTAGTATTTGAGAATGAAGTACTCTGTCCTATACACAGCAATAAAGGAGATATTTCAAGTCAAAAGCTGCAACAGCTGGATCAGGTAAACTGGTTGATTCCTCTTCTAAAACAAAGTTTTATATTTTAGAAAGCTTAGTCTAACTCATGACAAAACTCAATTCTGTTCAAAAATCCAAGGATTACTGCACCAAAGTGTGTTTCACTGCTTTACACTGAGGCCTTGTAAATGAGCTGTGGTTTCTAGTGCTGATTCTTCTTTGATTTATGTAGGTCACCAACACTGTCTTTGTACACCTTGAGAGCCCTTTATTACCCAGCAGTAACACTTGTCTATAGGTATGGTATGGTATTAAACAGCATTTGAAGTTCTCATGCAAATGCCTACCAGCAAGAGTCACACTGTCGTCATCCTTCACCTCAGGAAATAACTTTTTTGCTCCCCCCAAGTACATCTTGAAACCAAGCTGATGTTCAGGAAATGTTTTATTCAGTGTATATACACTAAATCTCTCCTAAAGTTGAGAAACTTCCAGGAAAGTACATTTAAAGTGCTTCAAAATGACCAAAATAACAATAAAACCTACTAAAAAAAAAAAAGTGCATCTTCCCTTAGTAAGAATGTAGGAGCTTAAGATAACTGGTGGAATGCTGCTCCACATACAGAAGCTCTCATCAGAAAGACTGAAATTTCTGAGATAAAAAGATGCACCTCAAACACAAGCCACCATATTTAACAAACAAAAAGAACAGGTAATTTCATTCTTACAGTGGTTTTCTAGTATCATATCTTAAAGTGTATTTTGAAGAAAAGGTCATTACAAACAGAAATGCCTTTGTTGAGCAGTTCTGCAACAGTAAAAATAAAAGCTTACTCTACCACGTGGCTGTAAGACAAACCTCTAACACAACTTTCTGTGTTATGACAGTTGGTTTCTTGTGCTCCCTAGTAAAACTGAAAAGAATTTTGATTTCGAAATACACAGCCTTCTCCAGGGCAAACTAACAGCTGCTAAAACCGATGGCACAAGTGAACACTACAATATGGTGCCATTTTGCAGCAACAGCTCAGCAGTATAAACATCCCCAGGACAAAAGAAAAACTGCTACAAAGATCCTTAGACAGAGACAAGACCATAAATCTTCTGGGCTCTCCTACTAAGCTCTTTTGCCATGAAAGTATTTTCATGTGAACACAACAAAAATAAAGGATGCCAAAGCAAAAACATGGTCTCCTATACACTCTGAGTGGAGAGAAGTAGCTTCTTCCTTTGCTCTTGGCTTTGTTCTCGTAAGTAAAAACACAAATAAAAACTAGAATCCACAATTCTGTTTACTGAAGGACTTTAATGAAAGGCTTGTGTGTTTTAATACATCCACCCCTGTGACAAGGTACGATTAGAACAGCAACAAAGGAAGATACTATGCATATTCCTCCTAACCTAAGGAAGAAGCTTGCGATCACTGACCTGCAGGAAGAGAGATGTTTGCACAGCAAGTAAAATTGTGTAAAAAACCCAAAACATTGCAATGTCTTCCTTTTTAAAACGTACAACTTTGCAGGTTTTGGTGTAGAAGTGAGAAGTATCCCATTTACAGAGACAGTTTGAGCTGCACAGTCCTGGGACACAGGAATGCAACATCAGTTTATTTTAGTGGAATATACTCAATACAATGAACCCACATGATCGACTCGCACCCTCACAGCTGGCTCTGAAAGAAAGTCCAGGCTAGGGCCTTCTTCTACCACTAAACAAAGCCAATTTCAAGCCAGGGCTACTCTTCTAGAAGGCGCTTACGTGACAGCTTGTGGACGAACCACCACTCCTCCGGTGCAGCGGCTGGGGCGGCGCGGGGACTCTGTCGCCATTGTGTCTTCACAGGTACCTGTAAGAAACACATTGCTTTTTAACAATGATTTGTAGCAGGATTGTTGATCACGCTGGTTCTTGACATACTCTTTGGGATGGTAAAAACCTCTAGAGGAAAGAGGTAGGGTGGGTTTACAGCTGCTTTACAGCGCTTTAAAACAAAAAAACAAAATGAATCCCAAGCAAATCACTTCTTTTTGCAGTACCTCAATCACTACAGCTCCTGCAATGCACGTGAAAGCAAAACCAACACAGACCTGCGTGATGAAGCTGAAAGTTTTCTTCAAACCGTACATTAACAACAGCGGCACCGGTACTTGCTGATAATCAGCAGTTATCAGCACCACTATTCAAGACTAATAAGCTGTTGTGTTATAAAATAGTTATATAAAAATAATGCAAATCATAACTGCAGTCTGTTGTACTCTTGACAATGGGTTACATTGAAGCTAACATGAAAAGTGTGATGGAACACATTCTACTTCTTTTTCATGTCTGCTTTTTGTACCATCTTCAAGTTCTGCTTCACGCTTCTGTTCTCCATGTGAAAACTCAGCCTAACAGTTTTAAAGGCAAAAAACAGTTGAGAAGCATCACAGATCGCAGACACCTCTCCACCCACCCTGTTATCCTGCCCTACTCCAAACGAAGAACCAGTACATGAAGTGAGAGAAATACGCTATCAGCATCAGTCCACCTTTGGGCACCTCTTTAAGTAAGGCACTTAGCCCCACAGAAATGAATAACACCACCTTCAGCAACACACCTGAAGCTTAACACACAAGCCAAGCAACCCCAAGAGACAAAACAGCGCGTAATATCCCTTCACACTGTACCTCAGCCCAGCCAGTGCCCCGGCCCGCCCCTCAGCCAGGACCGCTGTCACCTGCACAACAGCCCCGAGCACCGGCGAAGCTGCCGGGCCGAGGCGAGCCCTCCCGCGGGCGTGAGCCCCGGCCCCAGGACGCCGGCGGCCGGGAGGCCCCAGGCACCCTCAGCCGCCCGCTGTTGAGCAACTCCAAGAAGCAAAACACCCCAACCGGACCGGCCTCTACCCCGACCGCCGCCCCGTGAATCAGGCCGCGGCCATTCGGGCAGGCGCCGAGACCCGACGGACGCTCCCCGCCCGCTGCCGGGGGCTCCCTCAGGGCCCGCGCTGCCTCCCCCCCCGCCTCCTCCCCTCAGCGCCCCGGCCACTGCCCGGCCTCTCATCCCCGCGCTCCCCCTCAGAGCCGGCCGCAGAGCGCCCCTGGAGCGCGGCCCCGCCTCAGCGCTCCCGGCCCCGGGCTCAGCGCAAGGGGCGCGGGCCGCGCTCCCGCCCAGCGCGCCCTCACCTGCCGCCGCTGCCCTCCGCCCGGCGCCGCACTGACAGTGTTTGGGGTCCCCACGGGGAATGACACCCAGCGCACGGCGCGCGGATAGCCAATCAGACAGCCCCGAAGGCGGGCTGCTGCCGGCTGCCGGCCAATCCCCGGCTCCGCTCCCACAGCGGTGGGCGGGACGCAGAGGACACGGCGGCGGCTGCGCTCTAAGCTCGGCTGAGGCGGCCGAAGGCGGCGGGCGCTACACACACACCCCCCCCCCCCCCCCCCGAGCCCGCCCCGCAGCTTTGTTTACATCCGGATCTCGCGAGAGCCTCCGCGCCGGTCCCGCGCACGTGGGCGGGGGCGGGGCCGCGGGCCGATGCGCAGTCACGCGCAGATTTGGCGGGGAAGGCCCCGCCCAGCGCGCGGTGTTTACTTCCCGCGCGCCGCCGTGCGCGGTGACGCAGCGGCGGGGGCGGGGCCTGTAGGGACAGGCCAAGGGGAATGGCTTTAACCTGCCAGAGGGGAGACTGAGATGAGCTCTTAGGCAGAAGCTCTTCCCTGTGAGGGTGCTGAGGCGCTGGCACAGGGTGCCCAGAGAAGCTGTGGCTGCCCCATCCCTGGCAGTGTTCAAGGCCAGGTTGGACACAGGGGCTTGGAGCAAGCTGCTCTAGTGGAAGGGGTCCCTGGAACTGGATGAGCTCTAAGGTCCCTTCCAACCCAAACCATCCTGTAACCACAGATGACACGATTGATAGACAACAGAACAGCAAAGGCATACAGAGCCTTGGGAAAACTCTGTAAGAGTCTGGTGCAGTAAACACCTGAAGAAAAGTACAAAGATTAGTGTCTATAGAGCTATTGTACTGTCTACTCTTTTACATGGGTCTGAATCATGGGTCATCTACTGTCATCACCTGCTACTCATGCCATCCGGAGGGACCCTGACACGCTTGTGAGGTGGGCTGATGCCAACCTCATGAAGGTTAACCATGCCAAGTGCAAGGTCCTACACCTGGGTCGGGGCCATCCCAGGCACAGCTACAGGTTGGGCAGAGAAGAGATTCAGAGCAGCCCTGTGGAGAAGGACTTGGGGGTGCTGGCCAATGAGGAAATGAACATGAGCCAGCTTCAGTGTGCACTTGCAGCCCAGAAACCAACCGTGTCCTGGGCTGCATCAAAAGGAGCGTGACCAGCAGGTCAAAGGAGGTGATCCTGCCCCTCCACTCTGCTCTTGTGAGACCTCACCTGGAGCATCGTGTGCAGTTCTGGTGTCCTTAACATAAAAAGGACATGGAACTGTTGGAACAAGTCCAGAGGAGGCCATGAGGATGCTCAGGGACTGGAGCACCTCCTGTATGAAGACAGGCTGAGAAAGTTGGGGCTGTTCAGCCTGGAGAAGAAAAGCTGATGGAGACCTCATAGCAGCCTTCCAGTATCTGAAGGGGGGCTATAGGGATGCTGAGGATGGACTCTTCATTAGGAACTGTAGTGACAGGACAAGGGGTAACGGGTTAAAACTTAAACAGGGGAAGTTTAGATTGGATATAAGGAAGAAATTCTTTACTGTAAGGGTGGTGAGGCACTGGGATGGGTTGCCCAGGGAGGTTGTGAATGCTCCATCCCTGGCAGTTCAAGGCCAGGTTGGATGAGGCCTTGGGTGATATGATTTAGTGTGAGGTGTCCCTGCCCATTGCAGGGGGGTTGAAACTTGATGATCTTAAGGTCCTTTCCAACCCTATTCTATGACTCCTTGAACGCTTTCATCAGCACTGCCTCCATACAATTCTAAACATCCATTGGACTGACTACGTGTCAAATGTTACTGTCCTCAAACAGGCAGGAGTCACCAGCATGGAGGCCACATTGCTGAAATTGCAGCTGCACTGGGCAGGGCATGTCTCTAGGATGAAGGATCACCGCCTCCCTAAGATCGTGTTTTACAGTGAACTTGCCACCGGTTGCCGCAAGAGAAGTGCCCCAAAGATATAAGGACTCCCTGAAACACCACCTTAGCCTTGGCCATATTGACTACCCTCAGTGGTCCACCTTGGCCTCCAATGGGGAGGCTTGGAGACACACCATACATAATGCCGCTGGCTCCTTTGAGAACTCAGGCAGAACTAGTCTCAAGGAGAAAAGACAACACAGAAAGAATCACGCCCCGCCTGTACCACCCAAGGAGACCTTTCACTGTGCTTTTTCCAGCCGGATTTGCCTACCTCACATTGGCCTTTTTAGTCATCAGCGCCCTTGTAGTAAGTGTGGGTAAAGCCCTTCCCAAATCTTCGTTTGCGAAGTCAAGCCATGAATGAATGATGTCTAAAATGAACACCTGAGGAGCATAGCATGGCACACTGCTTCCCAATGTGCCTGCTTTCAGAACACAGGAACTGCTACTCACTCCTTTAGACTGAAGAAAACATGAAACAGGAAGAGAAGTCCCCACTGTTGTTGCCCCACAGGAAAACAAACCCCAACAAACCAACCAACAATAGTGATTTTTATTTACGTATTACTTTTGGAGGCCATGCACTGCCAGCGTCTCGATGATGGAGAACTGCACATGTTGGAGCTTCACTTCACAAGGATCAAGTAGAAAGCTGGTGTAACTCAGACTGGTTTTACTACAGGGACGCTGTAGGGTTTTGGTTTATTAAAAGGGGAGGAAAAAACAACGTAGAATCATAGAATAGTAAGGGTTGGAAAGGACCTTAAGATCATCCAGTTCCAACCCCCGACACCTCACACTAAACCATGCCACCCAAGGCTCTGTCCAACCTGGCCTTGAACACCACCAGGGATGGAGCATTCACTACAGAATCATAGAACAGTTAGGGTCAGAGGAGCCCAAGACTAGAACTGTGGTGAGAAATGCAGGAGGATGAGGCACACGTTTAAGTGCAGCAGAACTTGATGGAGATTTGTATTTTGCTTCTACGCAGAGCAATAAACCTGGGAAATTTGCTATAGTCTTTTATGGACATCCTAAGCAGCAATACAGGTACCTAATCACTGCATTATACTCACATCTTTATTGTGACCAGTCATCTTTAAAAGGTTGAATGTCATCAAACTGCAATCAGACAATACTGAGTTCATTGCAAAGACCACTGCAAGGTAAGCACATACAGCTGTCTTATCCCTGTGGCCTCCCCACGTTTATGGTGTATCATTTCAACATCACTTATAGCAAAACTTACACTGAGCTGTGAGGTACATCCCATAGACCAAGAATGAAATCCCTGAAGGATCTTACCTGCACAGACTGTTCCTCCCACCCTGCACGATGGTGCTGCGTTCACAGGATGGGTGAAAGAGAAATCCACATTTTCAGAAGGCTCATGCTTCCCCCTAGGATTTCTGTAACCATGGTAACACAGAGAGAGAGCAGCCCTGATTTCAACCCGTGTTTTATTGTTCCAGCAGTAAAGAATTAGATGCTATAAATAACCACCCATCAGCATAAAACACCGGCCTTTTACTTCCCCATTAGTAAAAATAATGCAGGTTATACATTGCTACAGTTAAACATTCCGTATAAAGTGCCATGATCAACTCTGTAATAAAACTACGTGGGATGTCTTGTTTCATAAGCCACAGTGTGGAAGGGGAGAGAGTACTGGATTTTTAATAAATAGAAAATAACTACGAATGTGCTCCAGGCAACTTCAGCTTGAAATTAAAACCAAAAGGCACCCCCATCAAACTTTCACGTGTTTTATTTAGGTGAACATACACATGGTCCACAGATCAATGAAAATACTCATAAAATAATTTAAGAACTTATGTGGAAAGGTATTAGCAGCACCATCAGTATTGGAATAGCAGAAAAATCAAGCCTCCATAGGGCACGCGTTTATGCCTGGCTAAAAATGCCATCATTTGTAACAGTGGATGGGAATGGCTTTATAGGATGCTCTCAGGAGTTGGCATTTTAAAACACACACTTTTTTTTGCTAAATACTTTTGACGATTAATGTTACAAAAAATACAACTAAATAAGATACTGCATAGTATTTTAATTAACATAAATGACTGGACATTGAGCTGGGTAAAGCCAGGCTCAACACCTCTGCTTCCACATACATTTCATTTCTGAGTAGAGAAATCTAAAGTTTAAAACCAAAATATAGACCTAGTGTATTCTCTAAAAGACACACTTTAGGTGGAACGTGTAAGTACTACGAAAATACATATCTGCCATTCTGTTTAATAATTTACTTTAGTTAAAAAGTTGTGAAATTCTCCTCACCAGAAGCGTATACAAATTCATCACTTTAGTAAATTAACAAAAAGGATTATTAATTATTCTTTTAAAACAAGGTTTAGCCCTGCTGTAACAATTATACAAGGAAGAAAACTGACTACATTTATATGAAGGAATACAAATTTACACACATTTTACAGCAACTTATACCCTACACATCTACAAAATTCACAGTTATAATACAAGCAAGTACAAGGCTGGGATAAAGCTGTTGGATACCAAAAAACGTTTCTACTTTAAAAAACGATAAAACAGGAAGAGTTTCAAACTTCTGCACCGACTTGCCCATTCTAACCTGACCAGAATCCACTTCCCCCGGAGCAGCCCCTCAGCACACGCACACTGCTTTCCGGGGCGGGTGGAAGAGCGAGGTGCTGAGCTTCTTCTGGCCGCGCAGGCTGCGGCGCATGGCCAGCCTGGAGTTTCTGCGCTGCGCCGTGGTGGACATGCCCTCCGGCGGCACGCTCAGGCTCCGGCTCAGGCCGCGCCTCGGCTTCTTCATCGCTGGGCCCGAGTTGGATTCTTCCAGTGTCCTTTTAAAGTTTGCCGTGGGTGTCCGCTCGGCATCCTGGGCTTTTGTCTGGCCATTAGGGGACACCTTGAATCCTTTTTGGTCCGTGCCTGAATTGGCAGAGTTGGAAGGGGAGAGGCTGACTGACAAACCGTTGCTGTAGGATTCCTGTATCCTCAAAGCCAACGCTTTGCTGCACTTCTCCTCCTGTGGGCCTGAATCCTTCAGCGTCGCTCCTGATGGAGGTAAATTGCTTTTGGCAATCTCGTTTGGCAGCTCTAAATACTTTTCTGAAATCATGTTGCTATGTGTGAGGGGAGGGATGGGCTCAGAAGCATTCAGCCGTGGCCACGGATCATCTTCTAAAA